CAACAGATCAATGTTTCTCTCTCTCTCTCCCACTTCCTCTTTCTCTAAAATAGCAATCCTCAGGTGAGGATTTAAAAACCCACCACCACGTCTAGTACATTTGATCATCTTTAGAGTTTTAACCAGAAGAGGAGCTCATATCCTGCCTGTGTCCCACATTGGCATGAGGGCCGCTGGGACAGTCACAGGGCTTTGAGCCCACACTGGCAGTAACTGTGACCGTCACATCAGTTCACGAGAACTCGATGACTGAACACTCCTCTTGAAAATGAACATGGTGTGGCTCAGCGGTTAGAGCGTCGGCCTGCGGTCCAGAGAGACCCGGGTTCGGTTCCCGCTGAGGGCACGTACCTGGGTTGCAGTTTGTCCCCGGCCCTGGTTGGGTTGTGCGGGTGGCAGCCACTCGATGTGTCCCTTTCACGTCGATGTTTCTCTCTCTCTCCCTCCCACTCTATCTGAACAAAATATGGAAAAGTGTCCTCAGGTGAGGAGGAAGGAAGGAAGGAAGGAAGGAAGGAAGGAAGGAAGGGAGGGAGGGAGGGAGGGAGGGAGGGAGGAAGGGAGGGAGAGAGAGAGAGAGAGAGAGAGAGAAAGAAAGAAAGAAAGAAAGAAAGAAAGAAAGAAAGAAAGAAAGAAAGAAAGAAAGAAAGAAAATGAACATAATTTGTATTCTTTCCAATTTCCCCGACAGGAACCTTCATTGAACCTGAACTGTTTCTAAGTGTGACTCTGTCACAAGGTCCCCAGGTAGGGGACCGGATGTCTGTAGGAAGCGCCGCTCCCCCCGGAACACTCCGTGGGAGAGCCCTCCCCATCCTCCGTCTCTGCTGCCTCCTCCCCCGCAGGGAAGCTGGGTGCTCTGCTGTCTCCATGTCCCAGGCAGGGTCCGATTTCAGTGGGATGGGAACTGATCCAGGGCAAACACTGCAGGGAGCCCCCACTTCCCACAGCGATTGCTCAGCGGTTAGAGCGTCGGCCTGCGGACCGAGGGGTCACAGGTTCGATTCCCGGTCAAGGGCATGTCCCTGGGATGCAGGTTTGATCCCCGGCCCCAGTTGGGGAGGCAGTCAATGGATGTGTCTCTCTTACATCCATCTCTCCCCCTCCCTCCCTCCTTTCCACTCTATCTAAAAAAATCAAAGGAAAAACATCCCCGGGTGAGGATTAACAACAAGAAAGTAGCCGCCACTGTGGCATTACAGGCTGAGCTCCAGCCGTTTACGCAGCGCGTTGTAGCAGAGCCACCGAGCTGGCCGGCAGGAGGACGTGTCTCGGTGACGGCAGGTTCTCTGGGCAGGGCACAGCCTGTGCGCACAGAGCAGGTACACGGCGCACTGTCCACAGCACAGGCTGCCTGTCCCAGCCCCTGAGCTTCAGGTCCCTACTGTCCGGCCGGCTGTGAGCTTCTTGACCCAAAGCAAGGTTGGGGGTGGGTGGGAGATGTCTAGGTTTCTATCGGAGAAAAAGGAAGCCTGAGACACACACCTCAGGGGTGAAAGGAACCACCACCACACACACATGTGCACACACACATGCACACACACGCGTGCAAGTGCACACGCACACACACACACACACACACGGGCCCCGTCAGGCAACGCCAAGGCGTCCTCACGGTGGACACAGCTGTTTCCCAAGGGCGTCCCGAATGGGAGCGGCCGGCAGCTGCCCCCCCTGGAGACAGCCCAGGGCCATCACGGCCGCGGCCCTTGCCAGCTGCGCGCTTCGCATCCACTAGAGCTCCGGGCCAGCCGAGGGCCATCCAGCCACCGCGTCAGCAAGTGTCAAACCCGGGCCCACGCACGGCCACCTGCAGCCGTCTTCCGGGGCTCCACTGAGAGCACCCCGACACGTCCGAGCGGCAGCGTCCTAGGCTGGGGCAGGAGGGGGTCTCCTTCCCCCAGATGGAGGTGCAGTGCCGTCAGGGCTGAAGGGCCCCCTCAGGGACGCCCCGTCGGAGGAAAACGGCTGAAGGCAGGAGAGGCATGCTGCTTCCTCTCCTCGCCCCAGGCACCCGGGTGGGCGGGAGAGGGTTTAAGCCCCTGCATCTGGGGTTAGCGGCGACCTTTCTCATCCACTTCCCCTTCCTGCTGGCAGGGTAAGGCCCAGGGCCCCCGCCTAGGATGTGGGCAAAGGAGGAAGCTGGAGGGAGGCCTTCCCCAACTGGGCACCTCAGCTGCCAGACAGAGGGTCCTCGGAGTGGGGCGGGCAGTGCCAGAGGGCGTGGGGCTGCAGAGCCTCTCGTCTGGGACATGGCTGGAACATCAACTCGTCAGTACTGGCTTAGTCTAGGCTGGCCTCTCCCCTGCCACCCTGTCCCCCGTCCCCCGCCCTTCCCACCATGGCCCCTGCTCAGCGTCCTGGGAGTCTGGTCCAGCGAGAGGGAATTCCTGTCTGAAGGACACGGTCAGCCCTGGACACCCCGGGAGCTTCCGTTCCACCACCTACAGCAGGGACTTAGCAATGCCCACCTCCCGGGTTCCTGGGAGAACCTCGTGTCCGTAAACGATGTGAAAACAACGCTCTAACGGAAGGTGAAATAATTAGTGAGGAGGTCGACCCCTCCCTGAACCTTCAGAGGGTATGTCCGTGGTCTTTCTTCTTCCTGTCTAGTCCTGCTTGGGGCCTCTCCCTCTCCCCTACTCAGGTCTCTCCTCGCCCTGTCAAGTCAGGGCCCCCTGGGGGGGTGTCCTAACAGGGTTCGCCCCTCTCTACAAAACCTGTAGGAAACTCTCGGGTTAAAGTGCTGTCGGGAGCTGGCACTTTGTGGTGTTCCGGGGTGAGCTGTGAGCTGGTGGAGACCTCAGACCACCCTCGGGCACCCGGGACTCACAGTAGCTGCAAAGCACAGTGCGGGGCTGGGGAGGGTGCACAGGTGCACAGGCGGACCCCGCCTGGCAAACCACCACCACCCAGTGCAGAGCTGGTCTCCAGGAGCACAACCTAGGCCACGGGGACGCGCTCCCAGTGGTTTGCGAGCGTGAGGAGAGGAGGATCACCCAGGCTCCCAGAAGGAAGGGTGGGTGGAGCGGATCCTCAGGCCTGGGAAGGGTGCTCCTGGCAGAGCAGCAGATTGGGAGCAGACATCAGGGAGCCCAGGGGCAGACACTGCTGGGAGGAAGGAGAGTGATGCAGATGTCACGAGCACAGCCAGTGGGCTCCGGCGCTGGACTCGTTCCCGTGGTGGGGGACAGCATCCTCACCGGCTCCCCTCTCCTAGCGGCAGGAGGACCGAGGCGGAGCAGCACCCGGAGCGCTCTGTGCTGATGCAACCATCTCTATGTGCGCCGTCTGACAGGTGGCCGCCAGCCACCCGGAGCTACAGGGTCACGCCAGTGCAGAGGGACCTCCGCTTCTAACTCAATGCCACTGACATCGGCTACATTTATTGTTTTTATTATTATTTTTTGAATCCTCACCCAAGGATATTTTTCCATTTTTGTCCAGATAGAGTGGCAGGGAGAGAAAGAGAGAGAGAGAGAGAGGGAAACATCGATGTGAGAGAAACACATCGACTAGTTACCTCCCGCACGACCCCAACCAGGGCCGGGGATGAACCACAACCAAGGTATGTGCTCTTCACCGAAACCGAACCCGAGACTCATTGGTCTGCAGGCAGACACTAACCGCTGAGCCGAATCGGCCAGGGCTGAGATTGGTTACATTGAAATAGCCACAGGGGGCTGGTCACTCTCTTACGGGTGGTAGAGGGTTGGCTAGCAGAAGGGCGATGCCCCAGGCTGTCTTGCCATGAGAGGATGGCAAGCTGCAGTCCTGTGCCCTGGTGTCGGGGTAGAAAACTGCCACAGGCACCAAGTGATGCTATTGTATTTGGGGAAGAGAGAGATTCAGTCCCACCCCCTCAACAGATGTGTGTGTGTGTGTGTGGGGGGGGGTAATGTTTGTTTGCTTGTTCCTGATGAGAGGCTAATCTCTGTGTGAGTTTTTGCTTAAGCAAGAGCCCAGCCACTGATAAGATGAACACACTCCCTTTCGTCCCTCCCTTTCTGGAGAAAAGAAACCAGACCCAAAGAGCCCCTTACTTAAAGACCTTCCATCAGAGGGGGCCAGAGGGCGTGGCCAGGAGTAACTATGTTAATCTCTGGTCATTCAGTCCAGAGATGTTGTTCTCAAAACCAGGCAAGAATTAAAATGCAATTATTTTTAAAACCTGGCAGGAAAGCAGGTAGTATTTTAAAAATGTTACACCCGTGTCCATGGCAGCATTGTTCACAATAGCCAAACAGTGGAAGCAACCCCTGTCCCTCTGGGCATAGAAGGACAAACACAGTGAGGAGACCGGTGGCTGGGAACAGTCCTCAGCCGTGCAGGGAGCTCTCCACACAGGCTGCAGCGAGGATGCACATTGGGGACATGACACTAATTGAAAAAGGCCGGCCAGGAAAGGCAAGTAGCTGTGATTCCGCGTGTATGAGGCTCGGACAGCAGCCGAATTCATGGAACCAGAATGGTCGCCAGGAGTGGGGGCAGGGTCGCTGTTGTTTAGCGAGTTTCGTGTTTGGCGAGATGAGTTGGGGGGGGGGGGGGTTGGTTGCACCACAGTTGAATATACCGAACTTGAAAAGGGTGGAGATGGTATATTTTACTCCTGTGGATTCGACCAGGGTTTAAAATAAATATGCGTACATACCCGTACACCAAAAAGTCGAGGCAGAGAGAAGAGGGTGGGGGTACAGCTTAGCCTCACCGATGCAAGCTAACTCCGCGAAAACCACCCTTCACCCGAAAGGGCGCCTTCTGTCCCCTCCCTCCCGGGCCTGTCCTGTGACCCGGGCGCACACAATAAGTCCTTGAGCGGTGCCAGCCGCACCTCCGCGCCCGCTCGCGGCGGGGTGGCCAATGAGCACGCGCCTGCGAACGGCCTCGCTCCCCGATTGGTCGCACCCAGCGGCCCTCGGCCCCGCAGGTTCCCAAACCCGGTTTAAAGGGGTCCGGCGCCGGCTGCTGCCCTGCCATCGGCTCCCCGCGCGCAGGTCCGCGGGGAGGGGCAGCCTGCCCAAGGGCCCACCCCGGGGCGTTCGTGAAGGGCGCCCTCGGCTGCCCCCACCGCCCCCCAGATGTACTATGCTGTTTCCCAGGCGCGCGTGAACGCGGCCCCTGCGACCATGCTTCGCCCACAGCGGCCGGGAGACGTGCAGCTCGGGGCGTCCCTGTACGAACTGGTGGGCTACCGGCAGCATCCCTCCTCCTCCGCCGCCTCCTCCTCCTGCACAACAGCCCCCCTCCTCCCCAAGGCGGCGCGCGAGAAGCCCGAGGTGCCCGCCGAACCTCCGGGCACGGGAGCGGGGCCGGGGGCGCAGCCGGGCGGTGGCTCCCGGGCGGACCCCAAGGAGGAGCAGCAACAGCAGCTGCGGCGCAAGATCAACAGCCGCGAGCGGAAGCGCATGCAGGACCTGAACCTGGCCATGGACGCGCTGCGCGAGGTCATCCTGCCCTACTCGGCGGCGCACTGTCAGGGCGCGCCGGGCCGCAAGCTCTCCAAGATCGCCACGCTGCTGCTCGCGCGCAACTACATCCTGCTGCTGGGCAGCTCGCTGCAGGAGCTGCGCCGCGCGCTGGGCGAGAGCGCCGGGCCCGCCGCGCCGCGCCTGCTGCTGGCCGGCCTGCCCCTGCTGGCCGCCGCGCCCGGCTCCGTGCTGCTCGCGCCCGGCGCCCTCGGGCCGCCCGACGCGCTGCGCCCCGCCAAGTACCTGTCGCTGGCTCTCGAGGAGCCGCCGTGCGGCCAGTTCGCGCTGCCCGGCGGCGCGGGCGGCGGCGCGGGCGGCCCCAGCCTCTGCACCTGCGCTGTCTGCAAGTTCCCGCACTTGGTCCCGGCAGGCCTGGGCCTGGCCGCGGTGCAGGCGCAGTTCTCCAAGTGAGCGCCCGCCCGGCGGGGCGCTCCTCCGCCCGGCCTCCCGCCGCCCAGCTCCTGCGCGCCCCCGCGCCTCGAGCCGCGGGATAGCGGGACCCAGCCAGGAGCCCCTTTGGAACCTTCTCACCCAGAGGAGGGGACTGTCGGGTGCCCCCTTGCCTGCCCCCACCTCGGGGAAATTAAAGTGATCCGAGAGGATGTTCGACGGAGCGTCGGAGTTGTGGGGGTTCTGTGCGGATCCCAGCTGCTTCGGGCAACAATGACTCTCCCTCGCCCTCACCCTGGTCCCTGGAGTTGTGCCTTTCGCGTGGGTGGTGTGGCTTCTAGGGCGCGGTGCTCGCCCTGGGTGCGAGGGGAGGCCAGCTCCAAGTGCCACCGCGTACAGGGGACCAAAGGGCTGCGCTCCCAGGGCGAGGGAGGGCTTTTTCCCTGTCTCCCGCCAGAAGTCACAGGCACCCCCGTTTCCACCAGCCATACCCTGTCAAAGGAGGCTGTCCGACCCCAGGAGGCAGAGAAAAGATCGGGTGGTGGGTGCGGAGTGTCTGGCTAGCAGACAAACCAATCCAAGATGAACTGTCGGCCTCGCTGGGCGTGCTCCTCTGGGAAGTGGGTCCGCTTTGGTATCCCGCTATTAGAGTGCAATTTTTGAGGCTCTCATAACCAGGTGCTGTGTTGCAGAGGTTATTCGCTCTTAAATCCTGCAGTCTTCCTAGAAGGGCAGTTTAGAACTGAGCCTCCCGGGTTCATCGCCCTGCCCCCAAAGGTAGGGGAGCCGACATTGGAGCTGCAAAGCAGAAGCCAGCCCGGAAGGGGCACAGGGAATTCCGTGGTCGCCCACAGTTCAGTAAGCGCAGTCGCTCATCAACGTTCTCTCTCACCGAAAGACAAGGACGGGGACCTGAGCCCCAAACCGCAGGGTGCTTGGCTTTCCCGCTGTGGTGGCCACGGAGGGTGGTCTTCTCGCTGCTCTGCAGTTGCAGCGCTAAGTTGGTGACCGGTCTCCAGGTGTTACAGACGTCAAGTTCCTTCACTCACGATCATGTTCCCGTGGGGCAGCTGCTTGCTTTGAATTCTGTGTTTAAGGTTTTGGGTTGTTGGTAGTAGCCAAATTTAACTGGCATTTTATTTGATCTCTAACTTTGTTTCCTGGCGCAGTGGAACACCAACAAAATAAACCATGTAAAGACTTTATGTTCTTCGTGTGATCTGCTTGTTAATAAAAGTGTCCTGGTGGATTCAGAGCCTGGAATTGTTCACAGTTGAATGACTGGGACTCAAACATTTTAAACCTGACTTCTGATGAACAGTCAACTACAGATGAAATTCAGGCCTCAGGGAAGGGGGGGTGCAGGCCCCCCGCCCTCCTTAGAGAAGGGAGGGGGGCATTCTAGCCATTCTAGGGAGCAGTTCTCAGCCAAGCTGGGCAGACAGGTCTTTTTTTTTTTTTTTTTTTTTTTTTTACCACAGCTTCCTCCTCTGAAAAAATGGGTTAACAGATACATTTATGATCAAATGATGTTTGAGCTCCTTCTCCTTCTCAGGAATGCACCTTTTCTCTTTTACTGGGCAGACACGGAAACACTCTCACCCAGCTGTGAGTTTCTCCCACCCCTGTCCTTTGAATCAGGTTGGACCTGTCCCCTAGGAGATTATGACCTTGGACGTCATCTTATTCTGACAGGTGAAGGCAACTCTCCTGGCTGGCTGGAGGTGCTGTGAAGAATTTGGTCTGGAGCTGACGTGCTCCTGTGCAGTGTGACCATTGTCTGGTTACTAACGAAACCCAACCACGGGCTGAGGGGAGGTGGATGGCAGAGGAACCGTAGCCACTCCTTTAACCTGTAGAAAATTAAAGAAGTCCCCATGAGGGGACTTCATGCTGTCCACAGGGGGCCCTCTGAGGAATGGATACATCTAGGGGGGAATGAGCGTTCGCTTTAGGAATGGGGGGGGGGGGCGAGTGTCTGTTTCCTCCAGGGAGAAGCAGGAGAGGACTTGAGAGAAAGTAGCTTTATGCACCGACACATCTCAGGAAAAAGTTCCCATTCTTGCCAGACTCTGCCGTCAGCCAAGTCACAGGCGACTCTAACAAGCAAGTTGGAATTGCCGTCTTCGGCTTGCTCAGTGCCTGTCCTTGCTTTCCTGCATCTTGACAAGGGACAGAAAGAACAAGGAAAGTCGACAACTAAATCAAAACCAAATCAGGTCCTCTCTGAAAGAAAGATTTCTAGTAGATTAGAAATAGACAATTCCCCCTATAATCCCAACCCCATCACCTAGAGGCCGCCATCATTCCAGCAAACATCTCCGTCAGAGAGGTCCAAGGCGGAACAGTGGGTGGGTGGTCTCCCTCCTCTCTCTACTGATAAATTAGATCAAGGACCTTGTGTCTTATAGGAAAGGTAATAAGTACCGGATGCGATTTTTTATTTAACTTGTGGAAATCTTTATCATCTTTGCAGAACGGCTAAGGATTATGAATGAATTGAACAAGGATATGCAGGGCCATTTGAAAGTCATCAAAATATTCAAGCTATCTGCCTGCATGTGGCATCTTACGGGCCATCATGCCATGCAAGAGTAGCAGACCTGCTCCTTATAAGGAATTTACATCCTGACAGATAGCACCTGTGGGCACTCAGGAGTCCTGCAGGATAAAACAGATAAAAGTTATATATGTGCGCATGTGTGCATATGTATATGTACATACATTTGCATCTATAGTGTCAAAAATGCAAAGTGAGACCTCAACACACAGAGGTCCATAGCAGGGCAGCATGTCTGCGGGTACAAGGATTAGAGCAAGAGTCACCTTTTGAAATCTGCAAGCAGGCTTTTTGCAGAAGGGACAAGTTGAGGCTGATGTTCTCCAAGGGCGGGGGAAGCAGAGAGGATGTAAGGCTCCTGGAGAAAGGAAAACGAGGCCTCGGGTGCAAGATGAGAAGAGTTCCCTGCACCCGGCCAGCTACTGACGTTCAGTCTGGGCCATGAGAGCGAGCAGGGCCCGGGGGGAGAATGCGCAGGCCCCGAGAAGCCGGGCTGTTGCTGTGTGGGAGGCCAGGTGAGCAGTCCATGAACAGACAGCAGATTACATGCACTGTGGGATTTACCTGGCCTGTGGTGATGGCCTATTTACAGAGGTTCTCTAAGGGAAACTGACGACACCAGGTATGAAAATGTAACCCTGTGAAATATACAACGTAGCAGGTTAGTGTCCCCAGCGAGCGATAAGCTCCATCCGAGCAACCGAAAGGGCTCTGCTTTCCCCAGGCTCCGAGTCTTCCCTGGTGCCCATCGGGTCCTTGCTGACTCCCCAGGTACGCAGGTGACACCGGGTCCAAGCTGGCCGTCAGCCTCAAAGCCGCAGCCTGCTCGCTGAACCTCTGAGGCTGTAAAGGAAGCCAGACGGAGGGCGGGCTCCTCTTTCTGCCGCACAAAGATACTTTGTGAACTTGCCAAGAACAGGGCGATGGCCAGGAGGACCTGCAATGGCCGCGTTCCCCAGCGCGGCACAGAGGGCACTGTCTGGCTGGCCGAGCGCCCTCCCCTCCTCTGCACACCCCGGACACTTTCTGAAAGCAGACTCCCACCTTCGCTGGAGCAGACTCCCGAGGTAGCGGGTCGGAAAAGGTCACGTGTTCCTCAAACACTGATTTACTTGCAGCGAGCAGGTTTTAGATGTAAGGAAACGCTGTTTCCAAGCAGGGTGCAGTTTATCTTCCCAAATAGAAGATGAGGAGACAGAGTAGTCAGGTAACCCCGAGGCCCGCACACAAGCCAGCCTCGTTATTTACAGTGACATTGCAAATGACCGGTCCAAGCAGTCCCATTCTGTCCTTTCAAAGGAAGCCCAGCAGAGAAGCTACAGCGTCTGCCCAGAGATGAAGACAGACTGCCCCGCTCGCGTGGGGTTGCGGCTCCATCGGAGAACGGCCCCCTGCGCCTCCAGCCGTGTTGGGAGGCCGGAGCTCAGGACCAGCAGGTCAGTCGTCCACGCCCTTGAACCTGCAGGCTGCTGGGTGTTTGGGGAGACGCCTGGATTGATGTGAAGGAAGCACGTTTCTGCTTCTCGCTCAGCCTGCCTCGGTGACCACGGAGGACGCAGCACGCAGGGGGGCCACTGCCCGGGACAAAGGCCACAGAATGCCAGTGGGCAGGAGCCCTGGGTGGTCATCTGTCCACCATCTTGCCTGTCGAATCAGGCACCTGAGGCCCGGGAAGCTCAGAGCACTGGCTCGAGGCCACACAGGGGATGGAGGCAGAAATGTCAGGGACCAGGACCTGCTTGTGGGAGGCGAAAGATGCCCCCGTGGTTGGTGCCGGTGGGACTGGCATCTCCCAGACACAGGACTCCTGGCAGGAGGCCAGCACATCTTCCTGCCCCTGGACAGTCTCCAGCCCCTGGCCTTCTCCTGCCTCTCTGCTCGGCCCTGCGTGTGGCCTCCAGAACCGGCAGACAGGGACAGCCCCTGCCCTGTGGCCTGGCTGCATCTCAGCCACCTGAGCGGCCTCCTGCAGCCTGGCCTCGCGGCCCCAGGGAGGCCCAGATTGGTGACAGGGAGCAGCAGAGGCGAGGCAAACCCCTGGGGAGATCCTCTGGTGGTTACAGTTTTGTCATCAGGGCTTCAGGAGGCGAGGGAACAGACAGCTGACGGACAAGGGCAGTGGGACAGACAGGGAAGCGGCATCTCAGGGCGCCCGCTTGGCGGCTGCTGGGTGTCCACGTAGGTGCCCGCAGTGCCGACGCCGGCGGACCCTCGCTGTCCCCACGGCCTGGGCAGCCTTCGCCCAGTATTTTCACAGACGTGAGCGGTTCTCCAGGGGGCCACTCAGAGGGAGTGAGTTTGGCGGTCCCCAGGGCAGAGGACAGACAGCCCCGACGGGGTCCTGCACAGGGAGCACCAGCCGGAGGTGGGTCAGGGGCCCCGGGACAATGCTGGCCCAGGTCCAGCTCTGGCAGCAAGATGGGTGATCGTGTCCCAGAAGCTCCTCGGTAACGCGGGTGAC